GTGGTGTTTGTGTTCTGATTACTCTCTCTTCCTGGAATGCACCGCCTGACCCGTACATCATCATTCACCCTTGATCTGGTAACTTCGTTCTACCCTCCTTAACTTTCCTCCATTGAGGACAATGTCGTGCTTAAGTGTGGGGGGGTGTTCGATTATGTATGCGGGTGAATGTTTGGTTGTTTGTGTGCTTGGAGCCTAGTCCACTGTCCAAATTTCGATTTGAGGGCTCCAAGTACGTGTTTCCTTGCAAATTGCCTACTCAGTATGCTTTGAATTGACAGTCTCTATAGTAATGTGCAACCTAGGGAGGTAGTGTAGCACTATGGAGGATGTTGAAGTATAAGATTTTTCCTATCTAGCTCTCTGCTGTGTCAGTTGATTTTGTGAATTAGTGGAGCTAAGACCGTTGAATTCATGTGGTAATGGTGACTCTATTTGGATTGTGTTATGGACTCGTGTATCGAACAGGGTGCTCATGTGGCAAATGAAAAGCAGTTGGTCCTCCATGTCGAAATCATTGAAATCTTAAATATGGGGTAAGCCCAACGTGTGTGGCACCGTTCATTGCACAAAATCGGGTTTTGGAAGAGATTTTAGTAATCCTTAGTGGGGTACTCCTACAAGGTGAAGCTAAGCTGTCTCTAGTACAAGTAAAATTTTCACCCGTTGAACGGTTTGCCTACTTGAGGATGTGTTTTTAAGGGCACGGATAGAGCTTCCGACCCCCCTTAATTTCATTGACCCTCCACACGAGTTGAGGAAAAGGAGTTAAAAGAAGTACTCTGGCGAGCGCCAGGTGTACAGAAATTGCTCTTGCTTGACTAATAAGGGTCGACCGTGCAAAAGACTGCAGTTGGAACCCCTGCTAAGTGAAAGAAAAAAAAAAGGAAACATGTAAATGAAAGTGAGAAAAAGGGGTTCCAACGGTGAAATGAAGTGAAAGAGCATCCCGGTACAACGAGTCCTTGGTTGTGAATGGTGTGAGTCCCTTTATCCATGAACTGATTGTCTTACTTCTACTTTTTCTCATGATCCTGGCTTGAGTCTAGTACTCGCATTGAGAGAGATAGGGAACGTCTTATAAGACCAGTTGACCTCGTAAGCTGCTATATGATCTAGGAAATCCTCTACCGACGATCGAGGTTGTTTGTTGCTATAGAGGTCTAGAGAGCTGCATTGGTTTGAGTTAGGTTTGCTTGGGGACAAGCAAACAGTTAAGTGTGGGGGAATTTGATGACTCGTTCTTTACACATGTTTTTACACCCGTTCTTACTCCGTTTGAGGTATTGATTCTCGTGTTTTAGGCCGATTTCACGCTAGGTTGTGCTTGTTTGTGATATTTCAGGTCCTAGTACGTGAATGGAGGCTTGGGAGCGAGTTTGAGGTCGATTGGACAAGGATCGGACGCATGGCGAGGTTCTGAGGAAGTTGCGTGGGCACGCACGGGATTGTGCGTGGGCACGCACGGGATTGTGCGTGGGCACGCACGGGATTGTGCGTGGGCACGCACGGCCGTGCACCTGGCCGTGCAAGAAGCCTGAGGGTCGAATTTAATGATACGGCGCGTTTTGGAGTGCACGGCCAGAATGGTGAGGTGCACGGCCGTGCGAGTCGGGAATTGCTGTTTAAAACCCGATTTTCAGCCAAAGGAAGGGGGAGAGCTGGGTTTTGGTTCCCAAACACCCAAGGGACGAACCATAGAGAGAGAGAGAGCGACTTGGGAACATTCTTTGAGCTATTTTGGAGGACTTCTTCGCCATTGGAGCTCGAGAATCAAGCTTGGAGATGGAGATTGAAGATCTAGATCAGATTTCTGCAGTCTCTCTCTTCTCTATGGAGTAACTTCCCTTCACTTAGGTTTTGAGGAACCCTAGTTCCATGAGTTAGGATCTTTCTTGTATGAAGTTTTGGATGCTATATTGTTTGATTATAATCGATTGAGGCATGATTTATTGAGTCAATTGGATCTTGATCAAATTCTCTTGATTTCTGCTTTAACCTATGATAGATAGAATCTGATTAGGTTAAGAGAGCTTCCTTGATTGATAGTAGTGAATTGGTTGTGCGAGAGTCAATCAATTCACTGCTTTGTACTGGAATTCATTCCAGTAGTGGAGATCTGTGTGAATCGCCTTAGCAGTCTATCCCGGTGAAGGCTAGTTTCCTGCCGGGTATTCTGTCTGAGAGGGCTTGGTCAGCTTAAGAGATTCCAAGCTAATTTAGGATCTTCCGCAGTTTAATCAACAGTAGATCAACCAAAGGTTATTGCAACTTGGACCTAATTGAGGAGCTAGGGGGAATCATACCTAAGTGAGTTCCCAACTTGTAATTAGTAGAGTAGTCAGTAGAGTAGTTTATCAATCAATTCTTAATCTAGTTTGCTAGATAATGAACTGAAGCTGAGTAATAGTAACTCTAGAGACCCGTGGATTCGATATTTATTACTTGTGCCACTATACTGCAGTCCCTTTCATTGGTTACACTTGGCCATTGTTAGGTGTTGTGTTTTAGCGAGTCAACGACTTTGATCTTTGAACCACGGAGGATTCCTCTATATAATTTCCCGAACCCGCCTGACCTCCTTCTCCCTGAATTCATTGGTCACTCTGTATATATCCTTGTATTGTAACAGAGTCGTTGCGCCCTCTTCCAATCTCCCATCAGCTTTTTGCACTTCCTCTATTGGATTAGGTGCCTTATACTCACGAAAGTCGAGATCGGATTGCGAGTATTTTTGGGTATCAGACTGAAGCCACAAATGGATGAAAGAAGAAGAAGAAGAAGAAGAAGAAGAAGAAGAAGAAGAAAGAGAAGTCGGCGAACTATTTGACAACAAGCAAGACAGAGAGGAACGCAATATATGAGAGAGAGAGAGGATTCGTGGGGTTGCTCTGTCGGGGAGTCGGGGAGAGGCGGTGGCAAGAATAGAGATTGATAGGCGGCGGTGGGCAAATGAGTGGGATGATCGCTAGGGTTGGGTTATAAAAAATTGATTTTTGTAATAGTTAGTAATGAGGTTGAATATTTTATATTTTATTTTTTTATTTTTTATTGTCATGTCACACATATAACAGTCAATTATAAGAGTTGACTGCCACATAAGCAAAATTTAACGGAGTTGGACGGAGAGTGACCAAACTTGAACGTGAAAATTAATTCCGGTGACCACGAATGGAATTAAATATTTTTAACAACTAAACGTGAACGTTTTTTGTAATTACAGTGACCAATCTTGCAATTAACCGAAAAGATTGATTCGACTAGTTTGTATTTGAAAAGAGAAGCTAATAACTCAACTATCCACTAGAATTATGTGACTACAGCAACTCCTTGGCAGTTTAGAGACTATATATATATATATGGTGGCTACTGGCTACTTCGTGCACTCACTTTTTTGGGTGCACTCTAAAAGCGTCCATAATACATCAAATTTTGAACTTTAATTAGTACTCTCAATATAATATGATGATATGACATAAAATCATAACAAATCAATCCATTACCCTAACCCCTTAACCTTCAATTTTGAATCCCAACCCAAAATCCCAAACTGTAAACCTAAACCCTAACCCTAAATCCCTAAATCCTTCGAATTAAAGTAAATTTTGAATGAATTTTTTTCAAATTCATGTGCTTCTTATTCATAATATCATAAGCAACAATTGATACCGTTTTGACATGAATCGCATGGTCAGAATGACAATTATGAGGCGAGTGCACTGAGTGCACCCGAAAAAGTGGGTGCACCGAATACGCCACCATATATAATAATATATATATAGTGGCTACTATATATATAGTGGCTACTTCGGTGCACTCACTTTTTTGGTGCATTCAATGCACCCACCTCTAAAAGTGGTCATAATACATTAAATTTTGAAATTTAATGGGTTGTATTAGTCTAATATGATGATATAACATAGAATCTCAACTAATCAACCCATTACCCTAACCTATTAACCTTCAATTTTGAATCTCAACCCAAAATCCCAAATTGTAAACCCTAACCCTAAATTCCTAAACCCTGAATCATTCAAATTAAAGTGAATCTTGAATGATTTTTGTACAAATTCATGTGGTTCTTGTTCATCATACCACAAGTGATGATTGACATCGTTTTCACATGAATCGCCTGCTCAGAATGACGATTATGAGGCGGGTAGGGATGGCAACAAAACCCGAACCCACGGGTACCCACCCGACCCAACCCGGTCAACGCGGGTAAAACCCGTGTTGACGGGTTTTGGGCCGGGTTCGGGTTTAAACCCGCTACACTATTCACCGGGTCGGGTTGGGTTTGGGTTTAGGTAAACCCGCCCCATGGGTACCCGCCCACACACATAATTATTTTCCCGGTATATTTAATATTCTAAATAATATATCTTCCTTAAATAACTAATATTCTATATTGCTATCTTTGTTAAAAAAAATAACTAATATTCTATATGTTTGTGGAGACATGTATAATTTGTTCTTTCTAATTGTTTAAAATGAAGTTGATATTATGAAGTGGAGAGTGAAGAAACTTAGTTGACGAGGAAGGAGCTTTCAATTAATCTTATTGTTTATAGATGTTTATCTTTAATTTTGAACAATTTGTATTTATCATTTGCGGTTTGCTTGTATGCTCTAGATTGGTGTTTTTTGTATGATTAATTTGTATGAGAAAATTGATGTTAAACTTTATTTTGAAAGAAACTTTTTATTGTAAATTTTTTACCATACAAACCCACGGGTACTCATAAACCCGCGGATACCCAGCGGGTTGGGTTGGGTTTGAGTTTGTCAAACCCAATGGGTTTTACCCCGAATTTTTTTGGTGGATAAACCCTTGGGTTTGGGTTTGGGTTTGACAAAACCCGCCCCAACCCGACCCATTGCCATCCCTAGAGGCGGGTGCATTGAATGCACCAAAAAAAAAAAGTGAGTGCACCGAAGACATAACCATATATATATATCGTGTCATCTACAATCTACGAATCATTTCATGGTATCTTCTTGTATCTTCTTCCCAACCTTCCATGGCGGATATACTATTCTCACACAATAATGATTCATTGCTCAGTTGGCAACTACAACGACAGTTGTGCTGTGTACTCAACACTCATGAACCTCGTACAGCACCTGTTCTTATCATCACCACTCTGGCACTCTCCAAGTATCAGAAAGGAGAATTACAGATGAAAAAGCAAACAAAGGAATTTTAACTGCATTGAATATAATAATGAGCAAAAAGAAAAATAAAAATGAACAGTCTCTAGTCACTTTCCCTCTGTTTGTCTAATTGGAAATCAATATACAGGTGTGGGTTGGCCCTTCTCTCTTTTTTGGGTCCTTTTCTTTAGCATTGTAGCAGCACACACCAATCTTAATAAATCTTTCTTCTGCTAAAACTCGAAGAAACCCACCCAGTAGTTAGGAGCTGAAACCTATACAACAACCCAACAAAGACCAACTATCCTCCTTCCTTTTTCTTTTGCTTTCAGCTTAGATAAAGCTCAACTTGAAATACACTAGAGAAACATCTCTTTCTCTGTTAGCAGGAAGTTTTTAAAGCTGACTCTATGTCATCATGACTTCTAAGATATTGTCACATCTCTGGTTTCAAGCGTGCTGTCACAAAGACGACAGAAGAATGCGTAAGGTTAAGCTACATGGAGCATGAATTTGAATAGTGAGGAGGATAAGGTGCTTAAATAAGATTTACCAGTTGGTCCTAGGCTATCGATTGCTGATGCGGGTTCAAATCCCATATGGAGAAGGCTCTGGAGTTCATTGTCTAATCCGGGCTGCACGACCATTAACAGATTAGAAATGATGATGCATTATGTGACAAGGTTAACTTGGATCAATATATAGAACCTTTTTATCTTACTTGAGGCATGGAGGCAAACTGTGGATTCATATTCGGCATGACTGGCATTCCTGGTGGGAAAGCTCCAGGTGGATAATGGGCCCCACTAGTAAGAGGGTTAAACCCGAGACTCGAGGAATTGTTGCCCCGAGAGTTAAGGAGCTGCATTGTGTGAAAGAAGCACTTTATTAGTCCAAACTCCAAACATTCAAGGGGGAAAACCAAAATTGTGAGAGGGATTGGAGCTTGGCTTGCTCACATCTTTGGATAGTATCCTCTCAATATCAATGTTCAGCTCTGGATTGACTGTAGCAAGTTTCATTGACAAGAACTGCACCACAAGGAAGCAAAAGAGATTCATCACTGAATTGAAAAAGCCTCTCATAGGGCCGGGATGAGTCCATATATTGCAACAGTAGCAAGTTTCATCACTGAATTGAAAGAGAATTTCATCACTGAATTGAAAAAGCCTCTCATAGGACTGTAGCAAGTTTCATTGACAAGCAAATAGTAGACCATATATTGCAACAGACGCACAGTTGCTTCACTAGGAAGAAGAAACCAATATGAATGAGCAACATGTGACTTTCTAGGTTTTAAGAGGTCATTTGGATGGTGAATTGTGAAATGGACAGAATTTGAAGAATACTTATCTTCTGAAGTAGATAGCTTTTCAAAATGTAATGTTTAAGTAACTATTTTTAACAGGTGGATTGCAGGTAATGGATAGTATCAATAACGTTGGAAATACCAGAACAACCTCTCACTTTTATTATTACACATTTACACTAGTAGACAGGAAAGGGAAGGAAAAGGAACAATGGATTCTGCTAAGGCTACCCTCTCCCAGTCATTCTACAACACCCCTATGGAGTATGTAACTGGAGTGCTTCTGGTAACTAGCAAGGGCAATATTTGATCAGTGTCTAACTGATTTTAGAACTGAACTCGGGCAAGCTTCTTGCAACTAGCAACTGCAATATTTGATCTATCATGAAAGTATTATATCCTTGATATAGATAGCTTACCTCAACCTGCTGTTGCAGTGACTGTACATAATTGATAATCTCATCAAGCATAACTGCCTTTCCAGTAATCTAATAAGGGATCAATCAACAAAAACCCACAATTCCATTAGTTTTTCTTCATATTCCTCGTCATAAAAACAGTTTCAGAACCATAATCATGTCGAAAGTAGTAGGTACCTTATTGCATCCTGGCACAAGTTCTTGTAGCAGTCTCATCCTTTCGCTGATCTTTTCTCTTCTCACCTGAAAACCAAATCCCACATTTAGCACAAGGCTTTGAGCATATATGTATGGTTTCTCTTATATATACAAACATCTTTTGCCAAAAAGTATAATATCGAATGGTTACCAATACATCATTTCCCAGAAAGCATAAAAATCAGAAGGGTTACCCTCTCTGCAAGGCTATGACTATTTGTAGCCTGACCTCTTCTGGCTCTAACATGAATGTAACTATCTTTACCATCTCCACCACTGTTTGATTCTTCTTTAGCCTGTTTAGCCGCCTGTTTGCCCTTAGAATTAGAACCAGCATTTTGTTCTTGTTTTGGCTTTTTATCTTCCCTCCCCTTTGGACCATCACTATCCTCTCCAGAGGGATCCTTTAGCAGGTCTCCGTCGGCATTCTACAGCAGATAAAGATCATAATCAGACAACATTTTTCATACTACAAACATTACTCAAGAGTGAAGACAAGTTTCAAGATTAGTTTACCTTGTTTGAGTCGAACGGAGAATTCGACTCGGCAATTCTTTTCCTCCTGTTTACATTATTAGGAGAATTGCCAACTCCATCAGACATTGGATGATCCTCTTGAGACTGTGATCCATTTCTCAAAGCCCTCTCATTTTCCGCCTCCTTGCCTGAGCCGAAATTTGGATGGCAACCTTGGTTGGCGATCTGGCCACACTCAGTTAGCCCGTACGGTCCAACCACCATCTCTGAGAAGTTCCCACTTCCGAAGGAAGAGAATTTGGGCACCATCTCCACATAGCTGGACTCAGATGGGTAATGAGCAAGGTGATGAGAGTTGGGATTTCCTCCATTGCCGTCCATTAGCATTGGAAATGATTGGTGATGGTGATGGGAGAATTCACTTTGAGAATCCATGGATGAACCTCCAAAGCTCTCATGTTGGCTAAGAGAAATAGCAACTGGATCCCAACCAGAAGCGAAGAAAGGATTTGTGCTCATTCCGGAAGATAACTGGTCACCACCATTACCACCCCCCAGTCCCATCTCTATGATCCAGAAGAGCTAATCTCCCCAAGTTCTGAGGAAAGAAGTATATCAGAAGGGAAAAGAAGAAGTAACCTACAACCTCTCTACACACAATTGGGAAAGAATCAAAAGGACTAGATATATATAGATATAAAGAACACAAGGGAGAAGGGTCTGGACACACAAAAGATAAAGTTGGAGTTTGACCAAAATTAGCTTAGCTGGATGGTGATATCTTGCAGGACTCAACAAGGAACAAGAAACCTTGGCAGCTTTATAGAACTGATGAGGTTTGGGATGCTAAAGTAAAAGGACAACACCTCGTTGATGCAGCATCCCCATGGACACGAAAAGTGAGAAAAAGAAGAGGGGGAAATCTTAGATAGCAGGCATAAAATCTAAATCAACAGCAGCAGCAGCAGCAGCAGCAGATAGACAGCTACTCACTTATTAGTATCTCCTTCTATGGAAAAATGGAAATGGGAAACGGGAGGAAATTGCCTTAGGATCAAACATCTACTCAAATGTGCATTGGAAATGAACGAAATGGGTGGGGGTAATTCTTCCTTAGAGACAAGAAAGTGAACCTTTCAGAGCATAAAGATGTAGAGTAGAAGACAAAAGCATCCAATTTAGCTTCCTAGCAGCTCATCAAAAACCCCAACTCCCAAAAGAAAGCAGATTCCCTTTCCCTCGCAGCCTCACCCTTTAGCTAGCACCACCAGCTTGAGTTTGAGTTAAATCCCCAATTAAGGAGGGAATTAGCTTGTTCAGAACCCTTGAACCTCCTCAATCAGCAACTCCAATTAAAAAGGACCAAGCTTGGCTAGCTGGGTTCAATGTCTGAATCAAGGAACAAACAACCCAGTGAGGGAAACAGCAGGAACAAGAAGAAAAAGGTGGAAGCTTTTCTGCAGAGGGTCTCTTTTGAGATATTCTGAGATGTGGGGTTTTTTATCCAAGGAAAGTCCAAAGAAGCATCAAATTCTGATTGAATTCTGCCCTTACTACAGTGGGGGGAATTGAATTGGAAGAGTTTGCTTTCACAGTCCCCCTAAAATGGGAAGAGGGGTAGGGAGGGACTGGTGGGCTTTTGAGAATTTGGACGAGTAGCTTGAAGAGCAGAGCATCAAATGCTAGACCCAAATTGGGGACAGAGGAGAAACCCCAAAATCAAAACCAAATTTCAGCAAGGCAACTGGGGGTGTTGTGTATTTTCCACAAACAGGAAAAACACGGAAGGGAGCATCAAATTCCAAGTCTTTATTATATGGATCACAGCAATGTGCAGAGGAGAGCTATTCTCAGCCTATAGCCTAGAGAGAGAAAAGGGTTGAGACTTGAGTGAGAGAGAGAGGGGGAAAAAGTCACTTCCTTTGGCTTACCTGCTCAAGCTAGCTAGCAGTAGCAGGTGACATGTATGATTTTGAAGCATAAATGCATAATTAACAACTGCCCAACCCAACTGCTCTCACTCACTCTTCCTCTCTCTGCCAAATTATTACAGGCAGTAATCACTTATTACTACAAAACCTCTTTAGCTGCATTTATCATCACTATGCTGTCCCTTTTTTCTCATGAGCTACATAAATAATCATTACACAAATTTTTATTTCTTTTTAATTCGATCTCGAAATCTTTGAATTTAAAGTTATCTACTTTCTCTATTTATCAGTTCACTTCATTGTTAACCTAAATATTTATTACTCAACTATTAGAATTGAATATAGAATAATGCTTTGATTGATTTGTTTTCCAGTTAAAACTCATTTATACTGATTTAGAAAAAAATGCAATTTTTTAAATTTAGTGGGGAGGGCTGGGAGAGGGAGTAAGGTAAGGTTCTTCTCTTGAGGGCCAAGCTTGCTTTGCTTACTTTGGTTACCTTGCTTTCCTTTCCTGTTTTAATTTAATTATTTTTTTGATTTATTAATCTCACATTCTCTTTTTACCGACAGGTTTGCCAACTGTTTTAATTTTTCAGCCAGCCAGCCAGCTAGCAAGAGAGAGAGAGAGAGAGAGAGCGAGAGTCTTCTCCTCCTTGCTGTTACACACTTTAATCTAATAATAATAATATTTTTTCTGTTTACTTTTTTTGATTCAGGGTTAATTATTAAAGAAGAGGAAAATGAGAGTGCCAACTGCCAACTAAACACACACTCAAGAGAGAAAGAGGACTGCTAAGCTTCTTCTCAACTTTCATTTCTTTTGAGATAAAAATGATGATCAATTATTATTATTATGGTGCACCAACTAAGGCAGCAGCTCCCATCCAACCCACCACTCTCCCTCATCATACTATTCATACCATGAAGAAGAAATGATCCTCTTTGCCCCACCAAATCACCCCTCTCAATTCCCTCCCAACTTACTCCATCTATTTATTTTCTAATCCTTTTTTTTGTTTACTCTCCCCTAGGAGCCTTTTATTAATAGATAACTAAGATGTGTATACTAACATATTGTATCATCAAAATTCAAAAGAAGAAGGGGGGAAATGTAATCATTATATTTTCGTGCCAAAGTTATATATATGTTCTAATGTGCAATTCGGTTGAAGCGCAAAGGGGTTGATAGCTATATGTTGTGCACGTTTCAATCAACGATTAAGATTGTGATTCCACCTACACGGGCTTCATCTATGTGCCAACATCATAGCTCTCTTCTTCACCTTAGATGAGTAGCTATATAATTGGTGCCTACATTGATACATTAACACCCATGTACATGTTTATGCTAGTCAGTGAAGTGCCATCCTTAGCTCCATCCTAGTGTTGGTCGAGGCGCATTGCCGATTTGAGGGTACGGAGCGTAAAATGTAGGTGCTTACGTGGGGCAGAAAGAAAGACTGCTTGTCAGAATTGCTCTAAGAACAAGTAGGGAGGGTAAATCACATTTAAGGGGATCAAGCTCTCTCGCTAAAATACTGAGTTTGGAAATTCCCTTTATAGAAAACACTATGCTGACTTGACCGACGGAAGACTAAAGGGCGCTCAGGACACGATGTTACTTGTTGTGCAGGCGATGCCTAGACGAATCCGAAGACCAGAGGCGCAGAGAGGGTTACTACTTACTTGGCTTGAACAACTTCCATCCTCGCTTCATATCAAAGCGGAAACATTCTCTCATAGGTTCAATATGAGAGCGGAGTAAGGTTAGATTTGATTGATTTGAAGAGAAATGGAAGTGATTTTCTATGAAATTAAGTGAAACTTGCATTAATAACTTAGACAGTACTGGAATGTTAGATATGTAGTCTATAAAAGTGAGCTTGATGGGTCCTCCCACATAAGTTTTTGTACAAACGACCTTCATTTGAGGAAAACACTTATATTGTGCTTAAGAATTTGTGAACACGCCCCACTTAATTAACATGTTTCGACCCAATTGGGCTCACTCTTTATACAATACTAATGTTTTAACGGTTTAACATGTGTTACTATGCAAAAGTTGCATATGTCCAAGGTGCAATTGAGCCAAAGCACCAAGATGGTCAATAACTTGTCATTGAGCACGTTTCAACTTATACTTGTGATCGCGATTCCACCTGAATGGATTACGCCAAATGGTGGAATCACTTATGAGCTAACAACGTAACAAATGTCCCTTTCTACACCTTGGCAAAGTTGGTATAAGAGAAGACCCTTTCTACACCTTGGCAAAGTTGGTATAAGAGAAGACATTAATTATTGTGTTCATTGAAACACTAATAATCATGTACATGTTTATGATAATGGGCTTGGCACCATCTTTTGTTCCATTCCAATTGAAGTTGAAGCAAATAAAGGTAATACAAATTTAGAAGTTCCAATAAAAATTCAAAGCTCTCAACTAACATATTAGATATGACTATGAGAGTGGATGGAACAGAGATTAGTAACAGTCCGAGTATCATAATCTTTCAATTCTTATATGAGGTCAGGAACGAAAGATGTGGAATAATAATGAAAGTACGTTCACAAAATTTGAATCTCACAAATTTTCAAAAATTGTTGCTCTATTATGAGACAATTTTAATGAGGGGGCATTTTTTAAGATTTTAGGGACTTTGAGTATAACTTTAAATCTATTTTCCAATTTAGCATATATTCAAAAAAGGTTCCCTAGTAAAACTTTCCATGCATATTAAAAAAAAAAATCGTATCGGTTAGATATTCGAGAGCAAAATTATAGTTGTTTGAAACCTCGATCCCAATCAGGACAAATCATTGGAGGCCTCTATCATCTTGATACATTGTTGGAATATCAACAAATTTTTCATAGATCGTTGAAGACCCGAACCATCAACCATATACACTAAACTTAGATAGATTGGGAAATATACACCAAACTTAAGTATTGTAGTAATGAGGTAGTTTGTGGGGAAAATCCTCCTACTTTCCGACTTTTTTTATGTCATGGTTAGCTTGTAAAAACACTCTTGTCTTGAGGTTTGGAATGACGTTGATTGATAATCATGTGGTTAGTTAGTTACTTAATTACTAGAATTGAGGTAAAATATGGAGAGCTGACTAAAAGGAGGCGGACAGGTGGAAGGATGTGATTGGCAAGTTTGGGGGAAGACCGGAAGAGGACAGTAGATTGCTGAGCAGAGGATGGGATCAGTGTTTGCATTATTTTGAGATAACCAAGAAAATATTAATCTTATCTTTCTAATAATTTAAACAAACCAGACCCCTGCACTGCTGCACCAAGCCAGCCACTGCCAGGCAGCCTTTTCTCTATCCCTTATTTATTATCATTATTATTATTATGCATCCTTTTTAAACTAATAATAATGATATATAATATATAAGGGGTAATGAAGAAGAGAAAGAAGAGGAATAATGGAATCTAATCATCTATATTTTTTTCTCCTAACCCTTATAGCTTTGTCCTGGTACAGTTTTCCAGCTGTGTAGCCTGTAGTAAAATGCCCCTATGTATCAATCAATTATCTCCCCAACCTATGTCTTTTTTTTTTTTTACAAAAGGGCATAAAATTTTCATTCCTTGTGGCAGAAGCCAAATGGTTACAAGAGTGGACCAATTACATCAAGAACCTGGATCCAATCAACCGGTAGATTTCTTTTTGCACATGATCGCGCAACCCAGTTCGTCTTGCAATTTCTTCTTCTGTTGATGAAGTCGAACCTGCTGATCGGGTGGTTGATAGAATAGTTCTTGATCCTGCTGATCCAGCCGGCTACACGTCATGGCCAAACCTCTTTTGGGTTTGCAAGGGCCTGAACAAGGGTCTGGCAGTCAGTCCTAATCAGGCACGGAGTTGCCAACTCTTCAGCCAAACGTGTTCCCTCCCAAAGGGCAATAGCTTCTGCTTCAAGAGGTGAAAAACAATGCAAGGGCTCAGCTCTCCCATTACAAACCTGTCCATGGCTGTTTGTCACTACGACGCCATATGCCGCCTCCTGTGACTCGCTGAAAAAGGAGCCGTCATAGTGTATTTCAAAATCATGAATACTCGGCGGTGGGGAGGAAAGTTTCGGGGGTGGATTGTGCTGAGTGTGGTGGGGTAAGTCTCTTATCTTCCGCGGGCAAGAGTTCCATTGGTGATGGGCAGTCAGAGCTCTGAAAGTGGTGATCGGGGGCCAAGGTAGAATCCCTGAGAAAATTCGGTCGTTTCTAGTCTTCCAGGTCTGCCACATTAAGAAAATCATATGCTGAATAGTAACAGTATGGAACCTTGATTGTAGGGAAACCAGCCAATCCAGAATGTTTGTGAGAGGTGGCGGTGTAGAGAGGTCAGGCCATTCCCGATTCCACCCTGCTGCTGCATGGGGGCAGATGAAGAGACAGTGATGAATAGATTTCGACTGACAATTGCACAGTGGGCAGGCTTCTGTTGGAGAGCATTTTCTAGCAAACAGGTTCGCCTTCGATGCAAGTGCATTCTTTGCACATCTCCAGATAAAGAACTTTAGTTTTGGTGGCATAGATAAGCTCCATAGCCATTTCCAGTTATCTTTGGCTGACTTAGGGAAGGGGTTCACTGTTCCTTGAGAGCCTCTTGTTTGGTTGTGGAATAGGTGGAATGCTGATTTAATTGAGAAGCTGCCTTGCTCCGAGAATCTCCATGCCCAGAAATCATTCATGTTCGCTGGACCGATTGGTGTGGCTCCTGTGAGGAGGATTTCTTGTGGATCAAGAAAATGCTCCAGCAAGTCGAACTTCCATTCTCTAGAAACTGCATCAATGAAAGATGCAGTTGAAGCTGAGTCAGTTGATCCATTTGACAGGAGGGGGCCTGGTCGATCAAACCGCCAAAGGTCCTGGAACATTTTGGTTGTCATTCCATTCCCAATGACCCTGGTAACTCCCTGTTTCATCCATCCTTTGGCTTCCCAAATACTTGCCCAGATCCATGAAGCTTTGCTTCCCTTCTTTGCTGATAGGAAGTCCAGACCAGGGAAGTAGATGCTTTTTTAGTACCTTCACCCACAAGGCATCTGGGTTGGTGAGGATTCTACAAGCTTGTTTTGCAAGAAGGGCCATGTTGAAAATGTGGAAGGGCCTGAAGCCTAACCCTCCTTCCTCTTTTGGAGCATAAAGGGCGTGACCAGCTCGCCAGTGAATTGTCTTTTTGGTCATGTTCCCTCCTCAGAAGAAGTTCCTCAACATAGAGTCCATCTTGTTAGTAGTAGATCGAGGCAGGATGAAAAGGCACATAATGAAATACGGTATCGCTTGAAAAACTGCTTTTAAGAGGGTTTCTTTGCCTCCTGGAGAAAGAAGAAGGCTTTTCCATGACTCCCCTTTACTTTCCATTCTTCGGATGAGGAATTGGAATGTTTCTTTCTTTGACCTTCCCCACTCAGTTGGGACTTCGAGGTATTTGGAGTGACAGTTTGTATCTGTAAATCCCGTTGTGAGTGTAATGCTACCTTTTTCATCCTCAGGGACATTGTGACTGAAAAAAATCGAGGATTTATCCTTATTCACCTCTTGACCAGTTATTGAGCCATACTCATTGCGAATGTTAAGAATTCTCCCTGCTTCCCTTGCTGAGGCTTCTCCAAAAATGACAGTGTCATCAACAAAGAGACAGTGTGTGATAGTAGGGCATGATCTGTTGAGCTTCAAACCTCTTAGCTCTCCTCTCTGAACAGCTTTTTCAATTAGGAATGATAGGGCGTTGCTCATCAGGATGAAGAGAA